GGAACTCTGGCTTTTGGAGCGAGCCCGTTTCTCAGGGCTTCGAGGGCTCTCTGAAAGGTGGAATCAGATGAACGAGCCCGACCGCCGATCCGAGTGACCGGCTGTCATTCCTCGTGCTGCGGACACCATGCTCTAGGTCACGGGCACTAGCAGCTGGACTGCGAAGGGACCATTTAGGCTCGAAGACATGACGAAGCGCTGCCCACTTCAGGCACGTCAATACAGCATAACACAGCTCAACTCCGACCCTGCTGCATGAGCATGCATTAGCCGCACCTGCTGAGCGATTTCATCGAGGAGACTTACCCCTTCCAGGTCTCCCGAAAAGACCTGCAAGTCATGGCATCGTCGACAGGCCCAGCCTGCTTGCTTGACCTTCCCTCTTGCCTTGCGCCGTGCACGTACGAAGAGCCGTAAATGTGGCTGGCTCTTGCTGATGATGCGGAGTAACCTCAAGTTGTCGAGAATCGAAGCAGGACACCAAGCAAGGATGGGAATGTTTGCCAGGACTCTTCATGTCTTGCTCCTACCAACGAGACTAATCCGACTGCAGCGGTTGTGCGCTCCACGGGCTGCTCAAAGGGGCTGCTTCTGTCGGACTTTGCTCGGGCTCTTCATGTTCCTTCCTGCTTGTAATGACTGCCCGGCTCGGAATATATTTTTAATGGCCGTGTGTGTGTGTGTGTCCCATCGTGTCTGGCCACTGCCTGCGGGAAGTTCGCATGGCCAGTATCGCCTCTGTCGAAGCTTGGTTGTGCTGGGTGCGTCCTTTGCTTTGCACATATTTCTGCTTGCTGGCAGTGCGAGCACGCTGCCAGTTTGATGGTGCATGGTCGCGGGCAGCGGTGGAGCATTGCTCTCTCAGTAACTTCGACGTACCACATGACCTCAGAACTCCCGACATCAAAGGTGTTGCAGACTTCCAACTCGTTTGATGGACAGCCAAAAGCCGGCAGGCTGTTTGGCTGCACCGGCTTCGGCACCTGTGCATGCTGTTCAGCATTCAGCACAAAAGAGGAGCCCCTGATGTTCGCTGATGTTCCGGAGTGCCGTCTCTTCTTCGTTTCTTGCTTGCAGTACTGCAGAATGTGGCAAACTTGCTCCGTCTCCTCTTTCGTCTCCTTTGCTACTTCATCTGAAGTGCAGATGTTGGGCACCATGCGGTCATGACGGTCATGATTGCTACAATTCCGTTTATGCTAGTACGCTGAAGGAAGTGGACAGACGGGTCATCGGACGGTGCACTCCACATGACTCCATTCCCTGTGCTGTGTTCAGAAACTGTGCGTTGACACCTCTCTCCATGGAGTCTCTCGCACTCTGCTCTCGATTCTCCTGAAGTGCCTCACACCTAGGGACTTTTGCCTAGGCGCAAAGGAGTCAGCAAGGATGCCTTCCATATTGTCGGAGCTCTTGGCAGCGGTCAAATTGAGATCGGGAAAGTCATAAGGTCGGGAGGGCCGGGAGGGTGCTTAAGGAATCTTAAGGACCTCTCAAAAACAAACCCGTTCCATTGACCTCTCTGGAGGCGGCGATGGCTCTCTGGGCTTGTCTTGACTTCTGGAAATGCAAACCGACATCAACATCATTGCCCTGCAGCTTGCCCCAGCTGAGATTTTCACAAATTGTCATCAAAGCGATCGCGCACTTTCCTTCCCAGAAGACATGCAGCCTCGCGGTGACGTGCATCATCCAAACAACGAAGTTGCACGCTGACGTGGAATTCAGCCAGGTGGCATTCCGGCTTTGGAAAACGTGGGTTCTGCACGGAACTGAAAGCAACCTCGGGCAAGAACAGAACCGGCAAGCAACAACCGCATATCAGTATGCCTCGAGCATCCTGGAACTGCATTCTCTTGCGTTTAGACCGTCGCCCCATTCTGTTCGCAAGAACTACAAACATCATGACGTACGTATCGTGAGAGATGAAGATTGAATGCAAGCCAGCTCGAACGGTGGCACTCGCTGCAAAACTTGAAGCGCATTCTGCATTCTCATAGCTAAGACCTTTACTTTGGCTTTTCGTCGCGCTCCTCCTGCTTTATCCTGCGGCACGCACAGAACACATATCCTCAAGCATGCTGGAAGGATACGGTCCCGAAGCAGAACTGTCCACACAGGAATCGAATCATCTCATGCAGTCAAGCATCTCTTTTTGTCGCTGCTGGAACCTGCAGGAGCGAACTCTGAGGGTCTGTAGACAGGCGATATCCGGCAAATCCACGCTGTATACCAGAAGAGAACCAAGAAAGAAGAAGCTACTTTGCTACGTGACCGCGCCTGGCAACGATGCCTCGCACAGGCCTGCAGCTCCGTTCGAGCCCACCAAGACTGAGCAAGTTCGGCATGCTACCTTTATACGTGCTGTTCATGCAACAATGGACGTCCTCCCCCGAATGGGAATGTTGGGTGTCTGCCTTTGTTGATATGTTGCGCTCGTTTCCAGCCTTGGTTGCAGGCGACCTGGTGTGGCAGGCTTCTTTCTCACTCGTACAAGGGAACGAGAAAAAGAAGCATTTCAACAGATCTCTGGTCGTCGCTCCCGTGTTCCTCCAGCTGTCCAGCACAGGGCCCTTAGCTCGCCAAGCCAATGTGGCGGTGGCGGAGGCTCCCGTGACTTGCCGCCGTTGTGTGGGGATGGACTAAGCTCAATGTCCTTCCTTGGCGGTTCCACCCCAGCATACTCCTCGCATTGGTTCAGCCCAGAACGCATTATCTGGTTAGGAAGAAGACTAGCACAGATGCATGAACATGCATTAACGGAACACAGTGTATGAATGTATGACAGCTGCGACCCAACATTTTCTTGCAACGATTCGCGACATCTCGCGACGTGCGAGAGCGAAGAGGCAGTTCTGGAGGAAAGCAGTTTTCACGTTCACAGGCATTTGCAGCATGATCGATGAGTCGTAAGCGAGAGTATTGTTGCGAGACGAAGCGACAAAGGGGCGAGGATCTTGGATGAACTTTGATATAAGCGACAGTCCGGATCCACAGCCTTGGAACGACCGTCGCGACTCTCGCCACCTTCCCCGCCTGGATGCCCAGAAACATCGGAGACGGTTCCCTGTAGTGATGCAATCACCCTACTTCCCATCTCCATCCCAAGCTCCAACTCTGCAAAAGGAGCCGTTAGCTCGAGGCGCGTCGTGAGGCATGGGCTTGGGAGGCTTGGGGCCCTGGGTCAACGACACGACTCCCTGCCTTGACTTGGAGTATATCGCCGACCGGGTCGAAACGAACAGCCGCGGCGAACGCACAGTATAAAAGTGTGACACAAGACAACTTTGGGGACACCTCCACAGTTCTTCCCGGTTGGACCTTGGCTGTCTGGTCGTGCCATCACCACCAGTCACCGCATGCCTCGCACGCTGCCATTGTTGATTGCCGGGGTCGATGCCTGCCTTGCTGTCCCGTCGTCCCAGTGTCTGAGATGATTCATCCTGACTGTCATGAGATGCTTGAACTTCTTTCCTTTGACAAGCGGGGAGCATCCGTTGGCCCCACCGTGATTTTCGCTGCGTTACGACTGTCTTGTCCCTCCCGGAGTCGCATCTCATGACACTTTCTCCTGTCACACGTTCGAGACTTGCCGCCGGCCGGGGCTTGCGGCTTTTCAGCGACCTTGCGAGAGTGACTGTGCATCTCTGGTTGCATGGGCGCACTCGTTGACGGCGAGAAGCTCCTTGCAAATTTATCTTTGCCTTCGGCCTTTCCAGGCTGTTCCACTGTCTCCTAGCAACATCTTTGTACAGGCAGCATCCGAGCGCACTAGTTGCCTTGAAGGCAGATCCGCAGTTACCGCAGAACATGTGTTTCTTCGAATTTTGCTCATTCCTTCCATTCATTTCCATTCTTCTGGTGTCTTGGGGAAAAAGGCATCGCGAGGTCAACAGGGCTTTCGGATGGCATGGAGACGGCCATCAAAATCCATTGAAGCTTCGGCGGAATGCTGGTGGATACACGGCTGATGTGTAGCCGCCTTGGGGTCTCAGGTCTCATGCACCCAGCACCTTGCAGCGTTTGAGACTCCAAGCTGCCCAGAGATGCAGAGAGCAAGAGCAACTTAGTGCGGGCATCATTTGAGCAAGAGAGGCTCAGGAGAGGGTAGAAGATGTCTGATCACAGCCATCTCTGCAGAACTGTGCTTTTGCTAGGACGAGACATGAAACACGAAGCAATTGAGAGCAAAATTCTGACAATTAATACAACAGTTGCTGTTGCCCAAAGCGATGCAGAACCAACAGCCACCACCTATGAGCGCTTTGCTTTCATTAGCTTCACTGAGCTGACCGGTTTGGTCAGAGGACATGTTGCCAAGCCATCCGAGGCTCTCGCATTCCGAGAGACTTGTTCCAATCTAAGTCCAGGCGCTGCAGATTAGCTTTGCGGCTCTTTGCGGCACACCGACACGGCCGAGGATCCCACCCTTCAGAAACGCTGCAAGGATCGGAACAGAGCTGCCGGAGGAGCCATGCGTGGCTCGCTGCAGGCACTTAGACGCTTAGTGGCCTCCAAGTTATACAACACGAGACCGCGAAGGCAACCCTACTCTTCGCTTACGAGCAAGTACCGCCTTGCAATGCCAGGCTGATGTGACGGCCTTTTGTAACTCAAGCAAGCCCTGAACAATCTATGGACTTGGAATGCTACATCAACACGGATAGCGGACTATGACATACCCTGAAACTCCAAGCCCCTTAATCAAGCAGGATATATTCGGAGTGTTTTCCGGTGTGAAGTTGCAACGTTTAATCTTTTAACCAGCTGATCATCATGATGAAAACATGCACGCCATGCAGAACTTGGTTGTTTGATCCTCACGGAACTCCAGGGAGTTCAAACGTTTTCAGCCGCGTTGTGTCGGGGGGCAGGGGGCAGGCCTGGCGGGCGGTACAAACTACAGGCATGTCGGACTGGTTGTTGCACCTGTCACAGAAGCGAAAACTACGCCCCGGTGAGCTGATGGAACTTTCCAGGACATCAACAAAGCACTGGTCCTGGTAGTTGGGGCACAAAGCTGGATGCAGGTAGGCTTCCCAGCCTCAGAAACACGCCAGCTGGTCTCGTGTCAGTCTCGCAGCTGTGCTGAAGTTCCGTGTGCTTCCTTCGGTAGCCTGGGATGGAAACCAAACAAAGGCAGATAAGAACGCCAACAACGGCAGCCGCCGCTTTGAGTTCACCATTGCGACTGGCGATAGCTGTCGTTTTGCGCTTCGCTATTGACCGCTATGTTGCTTTGAGGAAAAGTGGCATGCGGCAGCGAGGATGTTCCATGATGCTCTCAGAACATTCCTAGCACTTCTGACTTCAAGCATCGTGTCTTGAACAACGGCCGCGCCCGTGATGCTTGAGCAATCCCAGTCATCTACAGGCTCTGTTGCTGTGCACACATTCCCGGTTACGAGGAAGCAACTAATCCTTACCCATACCACGTGACAGAGTGTGACAGCCAGTAACTTCTTTTTGTAAAACCTCTGACGCAAACACCAATGCTCGACCAAACTCTGCCGTCGCATGTTCATGCTCTTGCAGTATGACCGACCGCACGCGTATCCACCGCACTCTTCGAGTGGGTGATTCTGCAAGAAGAGTGAAAGAGGCCGCAGGAAAGAACGAGAGCGAACGGGATAGAGAGAGAGAGAGAGAGACCCGGAAAGAGAGGTTGACAGAGATTGCAAAAAGGCCTGCTCACGACACGTGGCTCAGTCGATGGTAGTCATGCACGGAGCCGATGATTGTCATCACATCTTCATCCGTTTGCTCTTGAACCCAAGGCGCTCCCTGGAATTGCAGACCGAAAAGCTGCTGTGCATGACATATGCTTGTACCCTGCAATATCCGGCCCAACATGCAGACTTTGGACAGCTTCGCACCTCGGCGTACTACATTCCTGTACTGCTGGTTGCCCCTGTTGCTGGCGCTCGCTGTGAAGATCCGTGTCATCTCAGCAGTCCTGCACGAGAAGGGAAGGAGTTTTAACTTTGGCCTTTTTGCTTTCTGCTGGTTGTTGTCGCTTTCGTGCCTTTGCCAACTCCCCGCAACGCTACATGTAAAGGTAATTTTATGTACATACACATGTAGTAACTACTATGTGTGCGTTACCGCATAAATATGTGTATAAATAAACGAATAAATCCTATATATATATACACGCACACATTTGTGTATGTTTACTACACATGACCGTGCAAGCATATGCATATATTTATATATTTATATATGTATATATATATATATACATACAGAGAGATAGAGAGAGAGAGAGAGGAAGATAGAGAGCGAGAGAGAGAGAGAGAGAGAGAGCGAGGGGAGAGAGCGGGAGAGGGAGCTCAGAGGGAGAGAGGGAGTGTGGGAGGCAGGGCGAGAGAGAAAGAGAAAGAGAAAGAGATGTGTGTGTGTGTGTGTGTGTGGTGTGTGGTATGGCTACAGCCGAAACGGCTGCGCAGGGACAACCTGTGCTTCTTTCCGCATCTCCCAGTACCCTTCTCCTGCTCCCTCTACCCCCCCGCCACAGGACAAAAACAAACAAAAAGGTCAAACATATGTCCCGACAACAAATGCTGGCAACATGCTTGTTCGACCTGCGTGCATAGAGACTTCGATTTGAAGCTGCTCCTTGGTAGGCAACCACAGGAGCAGAATGCAGCGCATGTGAAACGGAAGAAAGCTGAACTTGCCGGGCAGCGGGATGGAGACCCACATTCCTGTCACACACATTCGGGCAAGCTACGTACGGTCGAAAAGAAGCACAGGTAGTTTCATATATGTATATATGTATGTGCATATGTATATGTCTCTGTCTATCTATCTGTCTATCTATCTACCTATCAATCTATCAATGTATCTATCTTTCCATCTATCTACCTATCTCTCTTACATATACATATGTACGTATGTATATGTATGGTAGCCCCCTTCCCAAAGACCTTGTGCTCTCCAACACCTCGCAACAGTCACTTTCAAACTGAGCCACTGGAACCACATGAACCACCAATGCACCCGCTTCAAAGCAATACTCACGCAAATGAGCTCGCATGAAGCATCCGCAGGCAACCACATGATTATGCACCACATCGAACTCTGCGTTGAAGATCGAACTTCAATGCATCAGGCCCAGGGATCCAAAAACCAAGGTACCGGGACTCTCCATTCTTGATGCTTGGTTCCTAGGGCCCTCGTGTATTGAAGTTCAATCCTTAAACGCAGATATCGATGCATCCAGGCCCGCGAAACCAAGAACCAAGAATCAAGATTCCTGGGCATCTTGGTTCTTGGTTCCAAAAGGCCCTGGTGCATTACAATCTAACTTTTCAGTGCAGATGTACATGGAGCCAGCCCGTGGCGGCAAGTGATTGTCAGGAGGAGTATGTGTCTAGGAACCTAGGTCAGTGGCAACACTTGTGCCTCAGCGCTGTGTCGGTGATACAGAGGTCACTTACTTGTGCTATAACAGGTAAGCTCAGTGAGCTCCGAGACTACAGCCGAAGGCATCAGAGGCTTGTCATAGGCCTGATGGACTTGCAGACCAGTCACCGTGTGCAAAATGATGGGTACAAGCATTTTCTAACGGAGCAAGCCACTCGCACATATTATAGTTGAAACCAAGCATCAAAATCTTTATGACTGACATGTGACTTCGTGAGGTTCGTATGAGACTAGAAAGAGGTCCGCAAGACAACGGCCAAGATGGCAAGATTCGCGGCTTGATTATTGCCATAGCTATCATAACTGAGATTTGTAGTCAGGACCGGGGCGGAGACTCCAGCAAGGAGTGCAAAAAGCAGTACGTAGATTGTCAAGCCCAACATGGTCCGGATTCGTAGGTCAGGGCGAATGTGGTTTACAGCGCATCTCAGACCTGACCGGACCAAAACATGGCCTAGATGGGCATGGGTCAATACCCCATGTTGTCGCGGGGCCCCACCCCCCCCTCTGTTACAAACCCTTGTCGCGCCGGCTTTGTTTTAAACCTTCGTCGCGCGGCAATGCCACATGATGGACCTTGTCGCGCCAGCCTTGTCGCAAAAAAAAAGTTTTTGTTACAAACTTTGTCGCGCAAGGGGCGCCCCGGCCCTGTTACAAACCAGAAGGTTTTGACCCGCTGCCAGATTAGGCGAGCTTGTGTATGGCTTAACAAGCAGTATTTAGGGGCGCAGTGAGTACTTTCAAGACAATAATAATCTCACAAACCCTGCGGGCCAATTCTGTAGGTCGGATTTGGATTTGGATCACACTCGATAAACAACTTGTAACTTTCAGATGCGAGTTTTATTGTGAGTTCATGGTGAGGCTCCGATGGAAATAACGTAGCAAAATACAACGGCCAACAAAGTTGGCATGGTAGAGGTCATGAGCCACAGTGGTTGCAGGAGTCAAATGTTTGATGTTCTGGAGAAGGCCAACATGGTTCGGGTTCGTAGAGGTCGTCATGTGAACAGTGCGGCTCCAGGGTCGAAATGTTCGGTGGTTTGGAGACACGTGTTGGTGTTTAGACCGTGGCTTGTAATGAGTCTGATATGAAATCGGGCATAATGAACTACCTACGTTCGTAGGCTGGTCAACAAGCAGGGTTCTTTGACTTGGTGAATACCTTCGAGGCAAAATAGCAAGTGCAGGTGGGTGACCTCACAGCTTTTTCAGGGCCCGAACTCAAGCGTGGGGTTTGAAACAGCATTGGGTTCTCTGCAGGACTCTATTCAACCCCATTCAATATTGCAAGAAGCATTATACTGATTCGGGATGAGGTTGAAAGTAGCCATGACAGTACCTGTGGCAAGGCACGACGTGTACTGGTGGATATGAGCTCGTATCATACGTTTATGGACGTATACAAACTGGTCGGGATCCTATCATACTTGCAAATTACTTGTGCTGGTATGAAATGTGGAATCCGAAAGGTTATGTAGTTTGCGTTATGCCGAAATAGGCAAGAGGGGGTCGCGGTTGCCAGCTCAAATCGTTCAGTAGTGGCAGAAAGAGACTCCGTAAAATTCTGGGCCGGCATGGCTAGAAGAGAGTCATGCAACAAATCTGCTTCATGAACTCGCATCCGTTTTATTCTAGAGAGAGATGTTCCGCTGCGGCCGTGCGGTATAACGGGCATGGTTGGCGCTTGCCAGTAAGATCTACTTGTGGTGCGCCTCTCTTACCATGGGTGCAGTCAGTACAGATAATACTTCATGGTAGCATCTCGCCAAAAATGCTAGGTGCAGTCTGTGCTCGTGTGTTTACGGATCATAGGCACTACTCAGCACTGGTATTCTGGTTCCTTGTGAATACAAGTTTCGTCTGCAAGGCTCTGTGGTATCATCTAGCCTTCAGGTGGAGTCTTTTCTGTTGAATAAAGGAGACATAGGCGATACTTTGTAGTATTATACATCTTGCTTTCAGGTCGGGTCTCTCAGTGTGAGTACAGCTCTCAAGCTAAATATTGCAGCTCGCATCGAGTAAAGCCTCGAAGCCCTTCGACCCCAGAACATAAATGCGACAAAACAACTCCCCAAAAATCGACACGAGAAATCGTGCAATAAAGCCAAACTAATATATGCACATGCACAAACAAACAGGCTAGGGTCTCAGAAAATTCGAAACACCACAAACAATCCGGACGACACCGCCTGCTCTAGGATTTGCTACACTGGGTCCAATGTTCCCTGTCCTGATCCGCATGTGCTGCGGCCTCATGCTGACAAGCACACAGGTCTGGACCAGTGACAGTAAGAGTGTAGTGGAGCCTTGATCTGCTTCAGGTCTTTGCGGATGAACTCCAAGTCTTGGCGAATGCAAAGCACATCGGCCTGGCAAATGCGGGGAAGACTTGCCCAATCGGACTAGCCGGATGACGGATGAGGCCGCAGCCGATTTGGCAGGTCCATGGGCCCGTATCATTCCTCAGGGAACGTTCGCTTACGAAGTGCCGTGTCATGAGTACCTCGGGCAGAACTGCCCTGAAAGCTCGATCTACAAGTCATCAAATACCCTTTCGGTTTTCCCCCGGTGCTCCTTCCATGAACTTGGAGTAAGAAACCTGCCCCTCTTCGTCAGCAAGCATGTGGAAGAGCGAGTGGCTCTCCTCGGGACCGTACTTGTGGTGTCAATATTCTATGATGAAGACTCCAAGTTTACACAAGACAAACAAACCAAATCACCCAGCTCGGCACAGGCCAGTCTGCGACAAACAAACTCTGCTTCAACTCAGGCCAAGATGCGTTCAGGTCCACCTCCAAGCCCGCCAGAAACCTCTTGACGTTGGGATCCTCAATAAAAACCGCAACATGTGGGTCATGTGGGTGCATCAACAATGTTGAGTGAGGTCGACTGCTATGGTAACCAGTGTCTGCAGAACCCTCTTGATAAAATTCGCGCTGACTGCGCATGACTGTTGACTTCATCCTTCACTCGGTGTGCCGCTGGAACTGCATGTCCCCGAGCGACACCCCTTTTTGAGAGCACCGGCTCGGTTCCTGTTTAAAGCATCTGGGAGAATTTTTGGACATTTGCGAATACAATGTAACCTAAGGGATGACGACCCACATGCAAATTTTAGCGGCTTGATCATAAAGAGTATATCGCATAACCTAGAAATTCGAGAATGTATCACCAATTTTTAGCAGAACAATGCAGAACATACCTAATCGTTAAGCTTCTGTAAACACATCCATTTGCCGTCTTCACCTCTCTCGGAGATGCTGTCTTGAAGCTATGCATTGTCCCACTGCTGTCCTCCATCATGCTCCTGAACTCGTCTTCCGAGATCAGTCCGTCGCCAGAGGTATCAACTTCGTGAAAAACTCTTTCCAGCTTGCGCATATACTTCTGCTTTGTAGCCTGCGCAAGTATTGAGCACCCAACAGCTAATCAATCGGCCTTTCTGCCAGAATTCGAGCACTGCGCTGGCTAAGTTCGTGCATTCGCGCATGTTCCACATACTCAGCGATGCCAGAAAGGAGACATCTGCACAGTGCACACAAACACTTACCAACTCCTTCCTTGTCTGCATGTCGGACACCTCTGCTTCCGAAACTGCAAACACGTCCGGTGCCTCCTTCTCAGACATCACAACTTCATGATCTTCGCCGGCCGCATCCAGCGTCTCCTCAACTCAACACAGACTGAAATTCCATTGTTCCTCCTGCATTCGCTCGGGAATAGCATCAGAGCTGACAATCTTCAGCTACCCCTATGCCAACTTGAGCAGAAGTTCAACGGGACGGGACGTTTAACTACAAGTAACAACTTCGGCTGCACAGGCGAGTTTGCATGAAGTTCCCTTTGAAGGTTTGGTCTTCGTGGGCGCGGCATTTTGTAATCATACAACTTCCCTGGATAGTAGGTTCTCTTGCAGAACCCAAAGCCACGCACCTTGATGAAAATGGCAGTGATGACTCTCATCACTGCGAAGACGACGAAAGTAACGTAAGCGCAAAAGAAAATTGAGTACCTCAGCTTGCAGCAGGCAACTTTGACGCTTTCAACCCGTAGCCGTAGCACGTGTTGGATACTTGATCTTTAGGCGCGAGGCCAGTGGCTGATGTTCTCGTTCAGCGGATTTACATATGACGGCCAACATCCAGCAAATGTCACCTGCGCAAACCGCGGGAAAGCTGCCGACGTGGCTGTCAAAAAGACGCAATCACGGAACACCACAATCACGACAATGTTTGCGGCAGCAACGTTACGCACGCCGCCGTGGCCCGGTCTCGAGAGTCTGCCAGTCAACACCAGCCCGGCGGTCGCTAACGAAAGATCAACCAGCCAACGGGCGTTGTTGACATCGACACTGACGACGAGGAGCCACAAATAAGACTAGTCAAGGAAGTACAGGCCGAAAGCAACACGATACTTTGGCTTGCACCGTTTGGTGGAAACTGTGCTGCAATGTCTTTCTCCTGTCCCAGTGGCAGGTAGTGGCATTTCAGTCGGCCGGTTGTCTCGGCAAATAAAAACAGTGGGAGCTACAAAGGAGGTGGCATCAACGGCCGCCAAGGCAGTCGACGGCACCGACTAAATGTTGAACAAGAAAAATCTGAAAAACACATGGTGTAGTTGCAAGGCAAGGACTCACGTCTTTGCATATGCAAGAGCACCGGACAAGTCTGCGCCGACAGACGGTCACCGAGTTGCACAAATTTTGAAGAAGCGACGTGCAGCGACTGTGCGGCGTACCAGATGCTTGGCATTATAGTGCTGCCTCGTCCGCGGATGCTCTCTTAATAGTGGGAATGTTTTTTTGCCTGACCCCTTATGTCTTTAGATTGACACCCGATCGCTTTATTGATCGTTGTCTTCATTCTGACCCCCTAGCTTCGCCACTTCCTGCTGACCCGCCTATCTTTGGTTTGACCATGCGCAAGAAAGCTGGCGTAGAAACACCCTTGTCGGGATCCTGAAAGAGTATAGGGTGCATGTGCATGCATCGGCATGAGAGTGTGGCGACGCGGGAGTACTTTCCATACTTGGGCCGTGCATCAGAATGCACCTTCACGGCACAATTCTGGTGCCCGGCCCACTTTGAGTCCGGCTTAATCGGGCACTTAACTACCTCGCCAAGCGAACGGCTACGAGGTGCCGACGGGCGCCGATTGCCTCCAAGGTGCATGGTCCATGCTTGTTCACAAGCAGACTGATGTCAGAGTGAGCATGGAGACTCACAGGGGCCATGTCCAGCTGCTTTCCGCTGGCTGCCAGTGAAGTGATTAGTACCTCAGGCTTCGTGTTGTGACACGGACCAACTTGTGACCTTGGTCAAGGCAACTGTTTCCATGCTATGCTCCCAGCCGCGGTTCTTGCCACAAGGCCTACCTGCACCCTACTAAATTTCTTCCTATAGCCAAGAGTCGAAAGCCTCGGAAACACCGCCACAGCAACCACAACAGCAGGGAGGGGGAGGGGTGCGCCGCCTCAAGACCCCTCCGCTCAGCAGCAAGCGGCACACGGCCTACCGTCACAGAAGGTGGTGCAGAGACCCACGCAGCCGGCCCGCCGTTGGGGAGCCAGCGAACCTCAGGACACAGACAGAGCAAGGGATGGAATACTTATTTCGCAGAACAAAGCGTAATCTGACCACCACGACAACAATTACGACAAGGACGACCACGAGGAGACCACCAAGAGACCATCAAGAAACCAGCACGAGTCTTCGAGAGACCATGCAGATACGCGAGATGCGCGCATAACAACACATCCGTGCGCATGCAGGCACCAATTGAACGAATTTCCTCGGATGCGAGCGCAACCTGACTTTGAGCATAGATCGAGCTCAAAAGCCGGCGGCTCGAGAGCCCGCGCGCCCGAAGGCGGCTCGAGAACACACGGGCAGGAAGGTGGCGGCTCGACAGCAGGCGCGACCCAGAAAGTAGCGGCTCGAGAGCACGCTTCTGCAAACGCAGGGCCCGCATCCAAAAGGTTTGGGCCCCGGAAGGCTTGAGGCTTCCGAGACCCAGCTGCCTTGCCGGATGTGCAACCTGAACATTGCTGGGCCCCCAAACATTTTGCAACGACCTGCTGGGCTACCAACTTTGGAGCATTGATAGCTTGGCCTACCTGTAAATCGTTTAGTATGGAACCCCTGTTTTCTTGCGTTGGGCTTATCCAGCTAGCAAGCACTTTGGGTTCTGGAAGGCTGACTGACATTTCTAAACGAAATGTTTCCGTTTCTGCTTGAGGGCAGGACTATGTTTGTCTTCGTAATATCACGGTGACGGTGGTACTTTCGCTCGCCTCACTTTGCGCGCTGCCAGGAACCACAGCCACAGCCAGGAACCGCTGGATGGAACCACTGCCCGGAGCCACTGCCGGGAACGGCTACCGGCTAATTGCCAGGAACTACCGGGAGGAAGTACTGCCATGAACCACTGGCAGAAACCACTTGCCGAGCCATTGGCAAGAACATCTGGCAAGAACCACTGGTAGGAACTACTGGCAAAAACCACACAGACTAGCAGCTAGAAAGAACTATTGCCATGAACCAATGCCAGGAACGACCGGCACGAACCACAGGGGTCTCCAAAACGTGTCTGCTGCTTTCACTTTCGGACAAGGCTTCCGAAATCACGTCTGCTGCAGTCACCTTGGTGCAAACCCTTTCTCAGTACATGTCTATTGCTTTGATGATTTGTGTCTGCTCGCATTCGTGTCCGTACAATCCTCCTTCTACCCTTCTTCCGGTTCTCATCTTCGAACCTTCCAATGCGTGTCTACCGCTTTCGGTTTGGGGGCAGGGCCTCCAAACCGAAATCACGTCTTACTACCTTCTCAAATTCTGTACCTGGCTCTGAAGCGCAGGTCTGTTCATCAATGTTAGGAAGATGATGGCTGACCTGCCTGTACATGGTCTAGGAAGGAACCCCCTTCATCGGGCCTCGGGCTTATCCAGTCAGCCGGGCTGCGGGGACGGGGGGGCAGGGTTGACGAGAAGGCTTTCGAGGTCACAAACAAAACAAAAGGGGGTGACAAACGAGATCGGGACCGCGATGCGGGTAAATCCAGGGGTTCGAGGGAAGATATGCGGCGTCAGAAAAAAGACATGGGGGCCGGAATGCAGATCGGAAGCAAACTAGGGCCGGGGCGGGGCTGTCCCGGTGAAAAGACACAGAGGATCAAACAAGTCCCGATAGTGGGTGATGAGGCATCCTATGAGGCTGCTTCCTTCCTTTTTTACTGCTTGGAATCAATCTTCCGGGTACCTGCCTGGAACATTGTATAGGTTGCACGGTAGGAGGTGCCTGAGTTGGCATCGCGAGCTGCTTCCACAGCGACTGAGCTTCGGTCAGTAATGCCGCGGAGGTGCCGTAGTGCTGCCAGATCCATTTGCGGATATCTATGTCTTGGCCTTTGTGGAAGCGCAGGAGTGAAAGCAGAAGACATGCGGGCACTTTCGCACCTCCGTCGTTGATGAACTCCATCACGAAGTTCCCGATTAAAAGCCCACCCAGCACCATGTAGATGGTTAGAAACAGCATGGACCAAAACCTGACAAGGGACTCAGGCGTGAAGCGTGACATGCCACAAGGTGCCATATTCCACTTCCGATGCTGCACGGGCACAGGGACGGTAAAAAAGAACTGACCGCAGCCACCAAGACGCGCAAACCGGAAAAGAGGCGCATCGTGCCTGGGAGGATGGACATGTCTGGGTGATAAGGATTGAGAAAGTCTGTTGTTGGCTGGCGAATGCCGCAAAGGTCCACTTTCAACCTTTGCTAAGAGTAGTGCGCATGACACGGAGAGAGCGAGTGAGCTTCAGGATTCGCAGAATCCGCAGAATCACCAGGTTGACTCGCCCTGAGATAGCAGCGTATGGACAAATCGAAAGTGTAAGGAAGAACCTCGTTGCAGGCTGAGACTCCGGAACCTGCCATAGGCTTGATGATCAACATGTCGACCAGGCTCAGAGCCTGGAGCACAAAGTCTCAGCGCGAGTTATCAGCTTTTTGCTCAGATAAAGGTGAGCAGACGGTTGCCCGGAGCTCCCGAAACAGTTTCTTGATTTTTCCCCTCGGGTTATGTGTCGTGTAGCCTCTCTGCTGAAGGAAGGCATCTTCCCAGTCAATGCGGTCTCTGCACCCACAACTAACTCGGAAGCAAGTAGTCGGCATCTTCTGGTATCGTTCAACAGGCTATGCTACACAGCACCAAAACCTCGATCATACCGACGCAGTGTGGAACAGACCGGCCACGGCGGCCACGGTGCCACTGGGCTCCCGACCACCAGAAAGGCGTCGAACACATTGAAGAAGTTGCGAAAGAACTGTAGCCGGTGGATCCAGAGCCGGACCTGATGCACTGACGCTGGATGGTACGGTCTCGTGCTCACTTGTCGTCACCGATTTACAGCTCGGATGCAGCAGGGCTGCACAAAGCTCCAGAAGGAACAACAGCGCAAAGCCCTCGCATCAGCTTGCGACTTGTTTGAGACTGTCCAAATCAAGCCGTGTCTGCAAATTCAAAATCCCATCGCGAAGACGCCGCAGTTACAGCATTATCAACCGCAGCATTTTAACGGATGTGGAATGGGTGCAGTACCGGTCAAGCCTCCTCAATAGTGATGAAGACGTCCTGGTGTCAAAGAGTTCCAAGCATATCATGATGCTGAAGGCTCTGAATGCATGCAGAACGCACTCAGAATAAGGATTGCGCTGTTACTAGACTTGTTTGCTTCTGTGTCAGCTGCATAAGCGGCGCGCTTCGGATTGAGGTTGTCAACCAAGCCGGAGAATGTGACGTAGACTTGCATCTGTTTCAGTTCTTTGGCATCGACACTAAACACCTCGACGGGCTTTGACATTCTCGACCAGGATCGGTGCGGTTATGTTGTAGGAAGCAGTGGCAGCAAAGGCGACTGCCCCTCGCTGGATGACCGGATGATAAGGTCTCTGGCCACATACTTGACGCACAGTGCCTTGTATAAGCGGGTGGTGTCCACATGTCATATCACTTGTTGCTGTGAACTTCAGTGCAGGCTTCAGTTGACATCGCCTGCTGATCCCTGTCTTGATTCAAGCACCCATGCGTGTCTCCATGCACGGCCGCATTCAGCTCAAATTAGATCTTTTGATTGCTTCCATCGTTGACAGGTGTTCTGGATTACCTTGCGACGAAGTGTTTCGGCGATGACAACAACAGCAATTGCGGCAGCAGAACGACAAGTGGTTTACATTGCAGGGTGAGGCAGGGCATAAGACTGTGAAGCGACGTAAGAACCCGCTGCGTTGAGGCACATGAGCTTTGCTATTTCTTGCAACAGCTTTCTTGCGGATATCTCCCGACAGCTTGAGCTTGTCCTTCTGTCTTACATGCCGTTAGGAGGTTGTTTGTCTGAGTCAAAGCCGTACTAGTAACACTACTAGCTGTAACAAACTGATGACTGGCCCCACCTGCTTGCATTTCTCAAACTATCTAGCATTTATCTAGCCGAATCTAGCCCAAACCTTGGATGTTTGGAACGACAGCACGGCTTTCTGTAGCACTACTGTATTTGCTAGCAAGCCAGGCTTTCTGCAAGGAGTAGACCGTGGCTTGTTTTGCACGTGGGTCTGTCCTCGGAAATAGACAGGCTGTCCATGCTCGGGTCATACTCCCCAATGTCTCGGGCAGCATCGTAACCCATCTGCTGGTGTGCGAGCATCATGACCTTTCGCTTTCAGCAGCCCGAAATCACAGCATAGGTCAAGGTCTAGAGCGCATGACAACTGAGTGCCTTACCAGGGTGTTCAATGAGATCAGGACACCTACGCCGACGTCCAGAACCCTGCCCAGCGGACATTTCCAAAAGCTTGCAAGTGTCAACATAGTATCATCTCGCTTCAGTATGCAGAACGAAATAGAACGAATAAATCTCACACGGCACTCGGGCTGCACCTGCGCTCAGCCCGTGCCAGCTTTGCTCCTGAGCTGCCAATCTGTCGGCTGCTCTCATGCGACACAACACTGAGAACATGCATGACTTCAAGCGCAGTGCTGGTGTACCGGCAGAACTTCTGAAGAACGGTTCCAGTCGGCTCCTGTCCAAGCTCGGAATCCGCATGGGCACATGATGGAACTGCATTTATGCTTGTCTAAGGGTGTCTGTCATGTCCTCGAGATCCTTTTCAATGTCGCGAATTTCCAACTCTTCTTCATCATCCTCTATGTCCAGGTCCAAGTCTCCAGAGTCCTGAAGCGCGGCAAGCACTTCTTCAACCTGTTCATGCAACAGCCATATCATGCAGCCTCCTTGTGGGAGTATTCGGTCGGATTACCTGAAGCACTTCCAGCGCAAGTAGAAAAGAGTCTGCGCTCACTTTACATGGGCGTTCATATATACAACGTTTACGTTGCGCTCGTGTGTGTGTGTGTGTCGTGAAAAAATGCAACCGGCCATCCATCCTTCATCGGTGCTGTGGCCAACGAAGACCTACGATGATACTTGTGTCGCTCCCTTCCTCACTTAGCCCCCGCTCGAGACTTGAAGATCGTGGTTGTGGTAAAAAATCTGGAAGGCGTTGCACAATGAACCAGCTTGAGAAGAGGCCACGAAAGCTAGGGCGACAAAAAGGTACAGGCGATGAAGCTCGGTCGTTGTTGCGTGCATGCTCGGCAGTGTGGATGTAAGGACATATGTATTGCCATGAAGCTTCAACCTGCAAGATGGTAACGTTCTTCTGTTGTACACTGGCCCACGCACATACAGATACAAGTACACCCTTTCTGTACCGTGGTGGTACCTTGACCGACCTGATTGACACCCGGAATGTCCCTGCATAAGCAATAATTCGGCCATCTACGAGCAGCTTCGAACTGTCCTCGTGGCAGCTTAGCTAATTACTGAGACAGCAGACATGAAACCTGCTGCGTAGCCGCATTCGGCCGCCTAGACACAAAATGTCAGCTGCCATGTTGCGTAAACAGATGGACCTTAAGGTGGGGGGACGGGCGGGACCGATGGAGAGAGGGGGGGTGGTGTGGCCTACAGTACCTTGTGCAATACGGCTGCCACTTTCTGCAGCCCCTCTCCTTAGTGCTCTGAATCAATCCCTGTCAACTATTGTGAAAAGACCAGATACAGGAAATGTCCTGGACACGATTTTGACCTAGGCTCCCTACTACCTACAAGTAACCGAATGGTAAACGACGAAGCTTGCTTTCGTGATATTGTCGCTCGGTGCAACCCTCAACCCTGAGCTCACGCGCTACGCCTGTGTACCTGGTTTCTTTCTGCCGCCTAGAAGTTGTGTGGCGATCTTCAGGCCCTCGGCCGCCCGAGAGTGGTCTCTCGGCAGTGTTATGTCTTTCCGAGTAGCAGCCCCCCAATCTTTTTGCACTCACGAACAACCCCGGTGGTGTCCCCGCGCTCCTATGGCTTCCCAAATGCATGCTACTCGTAAACTCGTTGAAGAGCCCCGGCCCAAGTCCCGAGCACGAAAACAACACACATCATGCCATGATATATGCATGGTGCACTTCGAAAGCATACCAGCTGTCGCAGGTATGGCATGACTAAACACTGTTGCACAAGACGCCCACAAAAGCAAGCTTCAAGGACGGAGGTGCTTGCGCGGCTGGCAGTGCCGGGATTTCCTGCGAGGAACAGAATCCCGTTTGCATGAGCGGCAACGGCATGGCAACAAAGCATATCTCACATCTCGCTCACCAGGCCTGGCTCCTTCTCCTGGCGCTGCGCTCGTGCGATGCAGGCGCAGGGAAAAAAGAGTTCTTCAGAGGCAAGAGCGCCTCTGCGCTGAGCCAGGGCGCAAGCTTGCCATCGGAGCCACCATATGCCTCTAAGTGTGAGGTCGGAGCTGCTAGGCACGGGCCGCCGGCGTGTGGCGCCTGATGGAGATCGCCTTCCACAGAGTCAATGAGCTTCATCCAACTCCTCGGACCGGCGTCGCATCCCCGCCAGGACAGAATGCCTTCCCGTCCACATATCTATCATGTGCTTAGACCTATAGGTCTTTTGCTGTAGCAGCCGCTGGATGTTGTCCTCCAGGTTTTGGTTTCCGAAAATCTTAGGACCAAAAGACACCTGGTCGTCTGCAGTCCGTGGGGATTTTGTTTGGTTCCTGGCGTTGCCAAGCAAAGCTTGCACACCATCCCAAACGCTGGTTTTTTTCTTCTTCTTTAGCCAACTTTAGCCTATCGAGGTCCCGTTGTCAGTCCACCCCTGCGGCCACCCGGCAGTTCAGACCTTCAGCCACTTCCGGAGCCTCAGCTGGCCACACTCCACCCACCACTGACACCGCCAGTGCCGCCCCATTCTCCCAAAGGTCCCATGCCTGGCATTTCTGAGATTCTGTGACCTAAACCCACGAATGTGTGCAGGTCGAAGGGAAACAACACGTCGAGGGAGCTTCGCCCACTTTGCTTTACCAACAGCAGGCCAGATCCAAGCGAAGCATTCCGAAGGAAGGACGAATTTGGCAAGAATTTCAGCAAGGCTCTCGTCCAAAGCTCTTCGAAGCTCGTTGTGGAGTTGCAGCAGTCGCTCTCTGAGCCTTGGTATCCGACCGAGACAGGGCCCTAGTTCCAGCGGGCTAAGCTAGCGCTTGTCCCGTTGCTTCAGAAGGTTTGTTGTATCTGTCAACTCCTTCAGCACGAACGATGTCCTCATCCTGTTCTACATGAATATCTGAGGGATTCCGTAAGGACGTTGGCAATCGCACGCTCGGTCCGTACATACCAAGTGAGTGTGGTCATGTGAGATACGAATGATGGAGGACCCGACACATCTCGACACCATCAGCGGAGAAGACCACCACGGGTTCAGAAGAAAGTCAATGTCTGTGCGTGCACCACTCAGATCACTCAGGAACCTTACACCACACATCCTTCAGCCCCCTGAGACGAACCATCCCTGCACATATTCCTCTTTGCAGAAACTCTCCCAGGCTAATCGCAGGAAACGATGCGTGGAGCTTAGTACGTTTCAAGACCCGTCAGGGGTTCAGCAAGATCAGCCACAGGACTTTTGCTCGATAGCTGCTGCGGCCACATCATCCTCCGTAGAACCATTCTTCACCGGCGGCGGCCCCTCTGTCGCACCTAAACTTAACGGAGGACTGCTGATGTTTGCAAGATTTTTCAAGTTTAGATACACCCTGCAAGATACAATAGGCTTCCCACCAGCAAGCCTGACTTTCCAGAACTCGGACTTGTAAACAGTACATGGGCTTGGTGGAATCAGGAAACAGCTCTGCTGACAGCCAAGTGGCCGTCTGCAGCCTCCAAGCTGAGTGGAGGAGGGTGCAGCAGTGCGTTCGATTGCTTGACGCTGGGCACAGGCATCAGCTTCGCCGTGCTATCTGCTTCGATTTCCTTTGTGATCTGTGAGACGCGTCACGTGCTCCACCGGCCGTGAAGGGCAGGTCAGGTCAGGGAGTCAGGGCGTACTGTTCTGCAGTGACTGTCTGTGATGCCAGTAGGGAATTTGTACTCTGTGGGATCGTGCACATGCCTGGACGCATAATGCTTTATCCGAGCAGGCTGCAATACATTCCAGAGGGCAGAGAATGACAGAGACTGCCCGATGCAAATCAGCTTCGCATGCTATTCAAATCTACACAAGTGCTGCAGAGAACTCCTTTTCAACTTCGCAGCTGCTTTGAGCTGGACGATGGCATCAGAAAGTGTCATCTTCAAAAGGCTGAGTTCCGTGTACACTTCCCAGAAGGCCGGCACGCTCCTGAGGAAATGATGGCGTTTGCAGTCACGCAGATGAAACGCGGTGCGCCAAAGCATGCTGACAAGCAAAGTCACGCAACCCTGGTGCCTCGAGTGCCTCGGTGCCGCTGTCGCTGATCGCCTGTGCACTGTGCACAGATGATGCAAGCGGGTCAGACGGTCAGACGAAAGCATCGAAGTCGAGACACCGGCGCGGCCGTGGGCCGCAGTACGGCGCATACAAGCAGCAATGAGGCAGCCCCTGCGAAACGAAGAATCTTCTGAAAAATTGGGGTGCATCCTACTGTACAGTGTGCAGTAGAGCCTAGTGTCATCCACAACGCCGAATGGTCCTGCCGCGGTGCACCCATCCCACAATCTGTCCGAATCCGGCTTTTGCATCGCAGCCTGTCCTGATGATAGCCATCCGACCCCGTGATATATTGCACGCGGGAAACATTTACACAAACATGGCATCGAGAATCCTCCGGAGGTACCACATGCTCACCATCCTGCCCGCAGAGAGCCGGGCAGAGCGCAAGATGCGGAAGGCATGCTTGGGGAAACGGGAATGCACAGTCCAATTCGACACCTTGAGACTGGGAGAGGGAACCCTGATGGTCCTAATATGTTCTAATGCCAGGAGGGAATTTTCTGGAGGGGCCAGACATCCCAGGTTTATGCAGCCCCCTGCATCAGCACATGTGTGACGGCGCCTGGTATAGCGTTGAGAATGGAAGACGCATTCCAAGAAAGCTACCTTCCAGGCTCCCACAATGCCACGAGCAGACAGCAGGCCTACGTTTTGCTGTTCAATTGCTTTTCAGTTCTTGCTACTGGTAGTAGCCCTCGATGCGCTCGGTCAGTGTGCAGGGCCGGGCAGAATCTCACCTCAACGCAAAACCGTCCATGCCTCCACCCATGCAAACGCCATTGCTTGCACATACGCCCTCGACGCACTGGCAGACCTTCTCGGCAAATCATGGCAAAGCCGATGGCCCGATCTCTGCAACTTGTAACTTCCTATTGCACACCGAAACACGGCAGTGAGCTCGTAAATCTCTTGAGGGCCGAGCCCCTGTGCCGCCAAACGGCGTCGACAGGTCTGCGCACGTTGTCTTGCCACGGTCTGGCCTAGGGGCGCGGGGGCGGGGGGGGGGGCAAGCAAAAGCTCACGATAAATGCACGTGTTTGCTTGTGCGTGTTTGCTTGTGCGTGTGTGTGTGTGTGTGGCTGTGTGTGTGTGTGTTGGACTTTGCCGGACCCGGAGACCCAGAATTCACAAAGTGGAGCCCGATGTTTACAGAAAGATGGCAAGCTGCACTTCGGATCATGACTGCACGTGCCATGCTCTGAAATGGATTTTGAGCAAGCGCGGTGCCGACACTCTCCAATTCCAGGTAGGAAGTAGGGACCCATCATGATGCAACTTGACTGCCTGGCAGAGGTTGCAACGTTTCGCTGTCAACATCGTCCGCACATCAGCCAAAAGAATAAACGTGGCAGCCCACAAGCAACAGCGATCTGGGGCTTCTTTGCAGCTCGGTGGTGGTGCTGGCAGGGAAAAATGACAAGAACGTGCCCCATGTCCACAATTCATCAGTTCGGGGGCTTTCACAGCTGTTTAACTGCTGTCATAGTTTGAGTCAAGTCACGGTGTTGTTTTGCGAACTCTTCCGGACAGAGAAATGGCAGCCTTGAAAGGCACAGGCCCCGCCCTGGGCCCTTGGCCAGCTTGGAGAAAGAGAGAAAGAGAGCGCCATTCAGAGACTGAGACTCAGAGAGAGGGCTGCGGCATGAAGGATGCAACGCACAAAAAACCAGTTACCGCCCCGTTACTTCTACGTTCTGGCAGAGAAGTTAGAGCATTTACCGACTTCCCACCTATGCAAAGTCTTCCAGCTTCGCTTAAGAGCACCATGAGCTCAGTGGCGGTGTCTTGCGGCAAAACTCTGACATGTCGAGACCCGGGAAGGGCATCTGCATTTCTGCCTGAACAGCGCGTGTGTTCGACAGCTTCAAGACCCACACCTGCACGAGCCCGCCTGCGCCGGTGTTAGCAGGGCGAAGTACAACAATGCCTGCTCGGGCGTGACTGTCCAGGACTTGGGATTGTCCCTGACGATCTCCGTAGTCAAGTACTTTGGGGTCTTGTATGCTTGCGTGTCACTGAGGCATGCGCCACCTCCATCTCTGTTCCGAGCACAGCATTCAGGCCCGACAGCACGCTGCTATCGAAGACATCTAGGCCCCAACTGCACCAGTAGAACTCAATCAGCAATGTTCCTTCTGCTTTCAGGTCTGACATGCAAGGGTCCACTTTGCCACCGATGCTGCGAGAAGTCTGTCATCTACGACTACGACCCAACAGTAATGTGCCGTCTGGAAGCTGGAACTAACGCGCATCCTGGATTGTGGCGCTACATTGGTCTACTTGCAAGCACATGGTTGCCTGGCTTTTCCGGTGCCTATGGCAAGGATAGCCCGGCCATGATATGCTGCAGAATCAACACTCTTCCAACTGAAATGTGTCAATTACTTGTGCTGGCTCTGACAAGACGCTTGCAGTCCTCTCATGCCGCACATGTTCAGTTTTCCGGGTTCTCGTCGGAAGATGGACGAAGCAAGACGAAACACGGATTATGCACAGCTGCAGTTCTCGGCCGATGGCAAACTTGTCACAGAGCAACAGCCAGTCCTCAAAGCCTGCTTCTCGAATCTGGAGTTTGACGGATCAACCATGCGGCAATGAACCTGTTGCGGGGCGATTCCATCGCCCCCGAACGCAATCCACTTCTATGCCAATGCAATCAGAGCCATCATTGGGCCCGCCAGGCTTTTTCACAGTCAGGTCTGTACATGACGTTCGTCACCTCGGCTCAACTCTTCAGGTTCGTAGTTCTTGCAGCCGCACGACCCAATCTGACCTAAACTGAAACCACTGACCTCAGCACCACTCCGTCTCCTAACTTAATGTTGGCTCATATCTAGAATCTCATCGGAATGGCAAAATCCGAGGTGTCCGGTGCGTAAACAGTCTGACGAGCGTGAGTTATTAGCCATGTTTTCTGAATCTTTTCGGTGGCTTCAGCGGGTTTATCTCTGCTGGGATGCAGCTTTGTACTCGCAATGTGCCGCAACTGCATGCAAAATGAAAGTCAGCACCCTGTCAACACGACGGTCAACACCACCAAAACCCTGGGAAAACCAGCAGGTTCCAGAGTTCACTCGTATTGACGGAAACATGTTAGCTTCTTCTAGCTTGCTACTGTTCAGAACAGTAAGATGCTGGAGCTTCCAGAATTTTGGCAGTGTTGACTGTAGTGTTGACTGAGTCTTGACTGTCATTGTACATGCATTTCCGCGTTTAGAGGATTAATCAGCGACATGCTGTTTCCAGCATTTTGGCAGTGTTGACTGTAGCGTTGGCTGATAGCTGACTGTCATGTTGCATGTATTTGCGGCTTTAGAGGATTGATAAAGGTGTTTTTAGCTTTTAATGTCCAGAACAGCAAAAGGCAGAATTGTCCGGCATTCTGGCGGTGCTGACGATTGCATTGTCAACTGTTGATGGAACGAATTGCTGTGTTGTATGCATGACATAGGTAGGAACCTGTAGACATGCAACAGATGCAAGAGAACTTCTGCCAGACAGTCCCCTTTGGCGGGTGTTGCCTGCATGTGTTACGAGCGTAAGTTATCAGCCATTGCTTCTGAATCGTTTCGGTGGCTTCAACGGTTTCAACCTGAAAAACTGGGATGCAGTTTTGCACGCCCAAGGCCCGCAAATAGATGCATCATGAGAGTCAACACTCAGTCAACGCTACAGTCAACCTACCGAAACTCTGGGAAAACCCACAGGAAATTTATTCACACTCGTCTTAAAGGAGAATCTTAGGTTTTTTGTAGCTTCTTAATGTCCAGAACAGGCAAAATGCTGGAATTTCCGGCATCTGGGCAGTGCTGACTGTAATGCTGACTGCAGTTTTGGCTGTAATTTTGCATGTGTTTGCTTATTTTAGAAGGCAAACTAAGGATTTGCTTAAGCTACCTAACGTCCAGCACAGCAAATGCTGGACGTTCCAGCATGTTGACAGTGTTGACTGACTGTAGCGTTGACTTTTGCTGGAGTTAATTGCCATGCTGATCCGTGTTGTCTACCCTGAACCCAGTACCTCAAATAAGGGCGGATACGCACTGTCAGTTAGCAGCTCAAAAGCACTTCTGCCGTCGGTGGATGGACACAATCTCGCACCACCCGTATATGGAGACTTTCGAACGATTGAGGCATCAAGCCCCACACCACCTATCTAACATTGCATCCTTAAGGGAGGAGGGGTCTAAATCTGAAATGAAAACTCAAGCAAGGCAGTTGCTTGGGCAACTTTCGCGGATATGCGGCGAACCCGTCCGCGCAAGCTTGCATTGCGAAGATCCCAAGCCGCGCCTTGGGTTTGCAATTCCTGAAGATGATGCGCGACAGCTCCTCGCAATCCCGCGAGAAGACTGCTCCGATAAAGCAGACCCTCTGTTATAGGACATGGCCACATCCTGTCTTAATCCTGTGGTTTCGGAAACGTTCTGGCTTGGGAGGAAAGGCTCGAACACGGCATTCTTTACTCCCTCTACTGTGCACAAGCGTCATTCCTAGTGTGAGTCTGGCTAATAGGGGCCGCTCCATCTCCACATCACCGACAAAGTCGACCAAACCCACTCGCTGAGCCTGCGAGGGCCGCGAGGACTGTGCTACGAACCGAACTGACGAGGACTATTCATCTCAAAGCTGGCCTCCCTGGCATCTATTGGAAGCCCGTCCGTAATCATCTTCCTGTGAGACTGACTGCATATTCTGACAGTACGACCCACCAGAACAAGAGCCTGCGATGGTTGAATCTGCTAGCCGAAACTAGAAAGCCAGCCTGATGTAGTCGTCAGAAACACGCTTCCGCATGGCAACGGTGACGCACTGCCACGGCATGGGAAAAGGAAAGATGGTGTCCAAGCGTGATCGCAGCCTTTACCTGCCCCTGCGCGATATTCTGCAACTGCTTCAAGACATGCCGCGCTGACAGCAGGCATACCACCGACTCGCACTTCGGGGAAGCCGAAAGTTGCATCGGGTTCCGCAAGCGACACCTGAAAAATGGACAGACTTTGACGGTCCCGAAGTTGGCAGGCTTGCCCGTTGACAGCTCTACGTGCCCTGCATCAGCCAGAGCAGCGAAAGCCACTGGCAAGCTGCGAACCTGGGAGCTCGCAAAATAGAGACCATGAAACTTCCCAGCACGGCACAGGAGCCACTCTAAAGAAAGAGACACATCTCCAATTACTGCAACGAGTCGGGCATTTGAGTCTGAGCTTGTTGCATCCCCCTTGGCAACATTCACGATGTACGTGGGCCTCGTATCCACGACCTGCGTCCAGATTCCACTAGACCAGCGTTCACCAGCGTGTCATGAGAATTGAAACTCCCTTCAGAGAGCAAATGCCTCGCAAAGCTCTGCAAAGATCTCTTGCGCCATGACGTAGAAGTCCTGGCTAGTGGCTGCCCACGGAGTGGTTGCATGCCCCGAACAAACAAAGAAAGTGCACTCGTCTTCACATTTGAGCTGCCATCCTTGTCCCAAACCAGCTGTCCCAAGAAACGAAATATGACCATCCCGCTGGAGACCTGGCGAACTACTGTGAGGTACTTGCCTACTTGTTCCCACGATTTCGCAGCCTGGCCAATCTACTAAGCCGGTCTTTTCCGATCTTCATGGATCCGTGCCGCCGCGCTACTGTACAACGAGACAGTGGAAGGCCACGCCAAGAAATAACAGCTGCTTCATGAAACTCTGCCAAAGTTTTGCAGGTTCCCGGCAGCACCGAGTTGAAGCACTTCTTGGCGGCATCTTGCCACTCGGCTGCGAGCCTCAAGCCGCGGCTTTTCCCGCTTTCTTTGCCAACTTGTGAAGATCGGCTAGCATCTCAGCCTGGATGTCAGTCTATGTCAGTCTTATGTCACATCAAGCGGTAATATTGCACAAGTCGGGCCACCCACCCCCAGGCCTCCCAATCATCAAAGCTTGTTCCGGAATGGAATCCTGGTGCTTTCGGGGCAACTTTCCCTTTCTCTGTGCCTGCACGCATTGCGCTTCACCACAACAGGCCACAGACACGCCCGCAACGGCAAGGCACCAGCTGGCAAAGTCCATCACTCAAGACAGACTCTCTCTCGCACTCTGACTCGCTCACCCACGCCCACGCTCTGAATCACAGAGTTTTGAACTGTGTCAAGCAGTTCCACTCCACCCCACTCGCTAGTAGTTAAGCGCACAGCCAGATTTCTCGCGTTTTCTCTGCTGGCAGTACTGCAGATCCGGCTAAAACTGCCTTGCTACCTAGGCAAAGGAAACCGTTGCAGTTCTCAGGATTGCGAACTCGTTCACGCATGTGCTGTGTGTCTCTGGCAAATTCCGCAACTGCAAAATCTTGATCTCCATGATGTTGGACAAACCACGTGCCAATCTCGATCCGGCTCATGGCAGACAGTCTTGTCCGTGCTCTCCTGCTGTATAGTCATAGTAGCTTGTACGTATATTGTAGCACCGGATCCAATCTCTCGGACAGTGTTCGCCATGACGCCCACTCCGCTTCGGCCAACAGGACTCAGAAATTGCCCCACCTTGCAGCCTTGCAGTGTAGTGTGCATCCGAACTTGGACCACAATTTGATTTCTGCCTGCCAGGGCATGCCCTCCTCTGAAATGCCGGCATATGTTTGGACATTTCCGGTACGCGGGCTTGCTTATCCCAGACCAGGTTTCAAAGCCAGGTGCCCGTCTTCAGTTTGCGGCAAGTCAGGAATGGGGCAGTGGATAATGAACTGGGGATAGCACTTAGCGGATCCTGCTGGCAATCGCAATCCGACGTTGTCCGACCTGCTTGGTGATTGATCCCCAGCTTCCGGCTTCTACAGTTGATACCAGTAGTACACGATGAACTGCTAGCTCCGCTGAAGCTCACGTCATCCGCTCCGCATGTCGTCTGTGTTCCTTTGAATCTGAGACTATCGGCCGGACATGATCTTTTCCATAGAGTGTGTGAGGGCATAGAGTTCGCCCACCCGTCAGTTGCAACCTGTTCCTGCAGCAACTCTCATACGACTATATAGATAAAAAGAGTGACGTGTGGAATTGTGTTTAGATGGTATATGCAACGCCTGGTATATGCAATGCCAAAACAAGTGCATATGACATATATATATATATATATATATAATTATATATATATATATATATATATATATAATTATAATTATAATTATATATATATATATATAATTTCAGC